ATGGCAGGAGATACATTAGAAGCTCACTTCTCCCAGAGACCTTAAAAGTGGACAAGGGCTAGGCTGCTGTTAACTCTACAGGAGGGCTGTCTTATAACTTGTGGGAGCCAGAAATGTTTGTTTGTTGTGTTTGTGTTGTGAAGTACATCTTCACAATTGCCAGCTCCCATGGGAAGGATGACATGAGCCATGATCCACCTTTGGACCGGCTGGGCTAATAGGAAGGGATACATGGTTTTATGTGGTTCTCCTCCTTCTTTGAAGCTGGTTCCAGCCAATTTTTTGGAGGGGGGAGACTTAGCCCAAACCCCTGATTTTCTTTCTTTCTTTTTACAGTTCTATTGAGGTTTATTATAACATAAAATAGAAAAAAAAATAAAGTTTTAAACAGAGGGTGGGGGAATAAAAAGGGTGGAAAAGAAGTGTTGACTTCTCCCTCTTTCCAACGCAGTAAAAGACGAATACATTCATGGCCTCACCTTTTTACGTTACCTTCAGTTATTAGAAGTCACTTCTATAATTGCTGCTTAAAGACTCTGGAAGAATATTTTGAACTTGTTTATTATAGAATGAGATGCATGCATTGTCATTAAAGCTTGCAAAAAACAATTGAAAATGTATGTGAATCTATATACAAAGATCTGGTCCATGGGGCCACCCTGGACTGGTGCCTCTGCCAGAGAAAATGGAGCTCAGGAGGGCCACACCTTTTTCACTGACTTAGGGTTGCAGGAGGCCATCACAGCTGAAAACGGAGCCTGTGAGCCCATTTTTGCTGACAGAAGGCGCCACCACAGCCACCCCTGACATGAGTGATGCTAAGCTGGTCATGCCCACCCTGGCCATGCCAACCCCAGCCTTTCAAAAGTCAAACACAACCCTGATGTGGCCCTCAATGAAATTGAGTTTGACCCCCCTGATATAGATGATAGCAGTCTAGAAAAATTAACAAGGGCAAACAAGAATATATACTTTCATCCTACTTTCTATTTCTGGTTTTTATGCATAAAATAGAAAAACATGAAATTAATGTGAAGATTTAATAATCAAAAAGCCTGATTTTCAAGGTGCCTTGGTGAGATCTCCTCAAATCAAGGGCAGGTATCTGTCAGGTGTGCCTTGGTGCAAAACCCCAAAAAGGAACCCCCCCAACTGCATGTTTGTTAGAGAAGAGGTACTTTTACTGAGTTTGAAATGATAGCAGCAAAAGAAAAGCAAGATCTGGGGCTAAAGGTGCAAAACTTACATATAGAAAGTATTTCCCAAATCCCTCCTCCCAAGGAACCAGGCTGAACATCCAATCCCCAACCCATACAGTGTCATGTGGGATGCATCTTCAGTTGGCTTCACACATCTGGTATGCCAGGATGCTTCACCTTGATAAACAAGTCCATTCAGTATAAACAAGTCCATTCAGCTGCGCAGTAGATGATGAGAGAAATCCTCCCAATTCGTTCACACAAGCTAGACATCTCCTCCAGCACACTTCTCAATCGAAATGCCAATGGTCCCCCCTCCCAATTACTATGGCAGCTGATAGTAAGCAAGCATCAGAGAGGTTGACATTCGGCCCTCCTGCAGTAGAAGCATTAGCTGTGGAGAAAAAGAACACAACATAAAATAGACAAGGTAGAAACAACCTGAAAATATAGGGACATTTACAACTATAATGTTAAGGCTTATCAGGATTTTTGGAGTGAAACAACTATAAAAGCCTCGGGGCTCTGACATCTCACTCATTTACTCATTCAGACTGAGAGGAGGGGAAATGTTTGCAAGCAACCAAATACTGTACTTTACTCCTATGTTTTCTGGAATCAAGGATCTCTTTGACCTCAAATTGTTGCTCTCCTTCAATGAGGAGGGGAACAGGAGGGGGAGGTT